AGCGTAAATATATATTTTTTTTGTATTAGTTTTTTTTTGGTTTTATAAGCTATGTCGATGTGAGTTTAGATATGCTTTATTTTCTTTAAGTATTAGGATGTTATGATGTGAACTTAAATACGTTTTATTTTTGTTTTTTGTATGTTAATACGAGCTTTGATATATTTTATTTTATTTATGATATTAGATGTGTCGATACGAGTATAGATATTTTTTGTTTTGGTTTTAGGATATTTCAATGCGAGCTTGAATATGCTTTATTTTTTCTGTGATTAGAATTTTTTTATGGAAGCCGAAATGTTTCTATGATTGAAATATTTCGATACGAGCCTAAATGTTTTTTTTTTTCTACGATTAAGATATTTGGATACGAGTTTAAATATATATATATATATATATATATATATATATATATATATATATATATATAGAGAGAGAGAGAGAGAGAGAGAGAGAGAGAGAGAGAGAGAGAGAAATATATATATATATATATATATATATATATATATATATATATATATATATATAGACATATATATATATATATTTCTTTCTAAGACATATCGAAAACATAGATGTACAGATAAATATAAGATACCGCTCAGCTGTGGCCTTCAAGAACGCGAAATATTATTCCAAATAAAAAAAAGATGTTTTCTCTCTCCTTCAGGTCCTTTCACCATCTTCGCGCCGACCAACGAGGCCTTCCAAGCCCTGGACCCTGAGCTCGTGCAGTCCCTGTTGGCCGACCCTGAGAAGCTGAAGAGCGTCCTGCTGTACCACGTGGTGCCCGGGACCGTCCTCTCGTCTGCCCTGAGCGACGGGCTCATGGCGGCCACTGTGGAGGGAGGGGACCTGAGGGTCAATATTAAGGGCAAAGTAAGTTGCGTTACGAGTGTTGTTGTTTTTTAGATATTCGAGTTGAACATTTTGAATTGGGATATATGCCGACTCATGCACAAATGTATACGGATATACACACACGCATATGTGTACAAACATAAACATAAAAGCATAAATGCAAACGCGAACACAAACACACACGCGCGCGCGCACACACACACACACACACACACACACACACACACACACACACACACACACACACACACACACACACTCACACACAAATACAAACATACACATACACAAACACACACAAACACAACCAACCAAACACACAACCAAGAAAAAAAACAAAAAAAAACAAATAAAGACAAGAAAAAAGAAACCCAAACAAAAACAAAGTAAATTCCATTTCCCCCACCCTGCCTACCTATTTCACTAACACCCCCCCCACCCCTCTCCCTCTCCTCCTACGCAGGCGGTAACCGTCAACAACGTGGATGTGACGAGAGCAGACATCCAGGCAACCAACGGAGTAATACACGTCATAAACCAAGTCCTTTTGCCTCCTAATGTTGTAGGCAACTTGGCTGAGGTTTTAACCCGCGAAGGATTCAGTCAATTAGTCGATCTCGTTGTTACTGCTGGATTGGCTGATACGGTTTCTAATGGAGGTAAGGAATGGGGGGGGGGGGGTTGAAGGTCAGAAGTGTATAGTGTTATGATTGGGAAAGCAACCATGGTAATGTTGAGGTCTGTCGGATGAGGAGTTCTGGTTTCATTGCCTTACTGTGGATGTTTTTTTTTTATTTTTTTATTTATCTTTGTTGTAGATGTAAGTGTGTTTGTGTCTGTATGTAGTGCTATGCAGTCGTAGGGCGTTTATTGTATATGTGGGTTGTTGCATTTTTATCTTTTATGCATGATTGGATATTTAGATAGAGTGTGGGGGGGGGGGGGAGAGGGAGACATTCGTATTATTAGTATTTTCTGTTTTGTGCGTATGTATGTACAGTATATATGCGCATTACACACAAACACACTCACATACACACACACACACGCACGCACACACACACACACACACACACACACACACACACACACACACACACACACACACACACACATAATCACACACACACACAATCACACACACACACACATACACACACACACACACACACACACACACACACACACACACACACACACACACACACTTATACGTATTTTTGTATATATGTATCTACACATCCATCCACACCTCTCTTACACTGCGTTATTTCATCTAACTACTCTTCTCCAGTATCTCTAAATCCTCTACCTCTTCCACAGGTCCTTTCACCATATTTGCCCCGACGAATGAAGCCTTCCAAGCCCTAGACGCTGACCTTGTGACCTCTCTGGTGTCTGACCCCGAAAGGTTGAAGAAGGTCCTCCTATATCACGTAGTTACTGGCAGCGTCCTCTCCTCTGACCTCAGCAGCAACGCTATGGTCCCGTCTGTTCAGGGGGCACCTCTCAAGGTCAGCGTAGAAGGAAACAGCGACAATCAGGTAAGTTAAAGCATTAGCTCTCTCTATATCTAATTATCTTTTTCTCTTTCTGTATATCGATGTATATATCTGACTATATGTCTGTCTGTGTCTGTATGTCCTTCTCTTCCTCTCCATCTCCCTCTCTCTTCTCTCTCTCTCTCTCTCTCTCTCTCTCTCTCTCTCTCTCTCTCTCTCTCTCTATCTATCTATCTATCTATCTCTTTCTCTCTCTATCTGTCTCTCTCTCTATCTCTCTATCTGTCCCTCTATCTGTTTCTCTAGCTATCTGTCTATCGATCTATCCATCTATCTCTCTCTCATTTACATTCAGTACAGACCTCATCACATAAATAAAACAACGTAAATAAAACAACACAAGGAAGATCAGACAAACACACACAAATAGTCTTTTTTTCCTACTCGTTCTTTCCTTTCTGTACAAACTATCCAACACGAGTCCTTCACGCATTTCATCTATCCCTACAGATGGTGACCGTGAATGGAGCTCCTGTGACACGAGCCGACGTCCCTGCGAACAACGGCGTAGTTCACGTCATTGACCAAGTCCTCCTGCCGCCCGAGGAGATGGGGAACCTTGCTGAGGTCCTTACTGCTCAGGGATTCACCCAGCTTGTTGATCTCGTGGTCGCCGCGGGTCTTGCCGATACGGTTTCCAATGGAGGTCAGTTAGAGTGCTTTCTGTGGAGGTTAGAGTGTTTATAATGGAGGGTGGTGTGTTTATAATGGAGGGTGGTGTGTTTTTAATGGAGGTCGATGTGTTTTTTAATGGATTAGTCAGAGGGTTTTCAGTGGAGGTCAGTCAGAGGGTTTTCAAATGAGGTCAGTCTAAGGGTTTCAGTGGAGGTCAATCAGAGTGTTTTCGGCGGATAGCTTGAGCGACCTGGTTTAACCTATGGGTATAACTTTTTTTCTGCATTAGATATGTGTCCTAAGTTCTGTGAAGTCATAATTAAGATATCCATTGATTTCTGGATAATACAGAAAGCTACTCATTCACATTGACCTTAGTGTTATAAAACCACGTGATTAAGATACTAATTAATCCCGGGATGATATAGATTAATAATCATCCTCATCTTCTCAGTACCAAAGACCACAACACTATATACCTTACCCCCTATATAACCACAGTCAAGATACCCACACAATCCAGAGACAAACCTCACCACCTCACCATTATCCTCAAAAACTAAAAAACTCACCAATTAATGCCAGATCCTTCACTCTCCCCTACAGGTCCCTTCACCATTTTCGCTCCGACTAACAAGGCGTTCCAAGCTGTTGACAAAGCTACATTAGACAACCTCTTGGCTGACACAGAAATGCTTAAGAGTGTCTTATTATACCACGTCGTCCCAAGCTCCGTCTATTCTCCTCAGCTGGGGGATGATCTCTTGGTTAACACAGTCGAGGGGAAACCTGTAAGGGTCAACACTGCCTTCAGTAATGGAATGGGCGTAAGTATTTATCTAATTATCTATCTATCTCTCTCCCTCTCTATCTCTCGTTCTCTCTCTCTCTCTCTCTCGTTCTCTCTCTCTCTCTCGTTCTATCGTTCTCTCCCTCTCTTTCTCTCTCTCTCTCTTTCTCTCTCTCTCTCTCTCTCTCTCTCTCTCCCTCTCTCTCTCTCTCTCTCTCTCTCTCTCTCTCTCTCTCTCTCTCTCTCTCTCTCTTCTCTCTCTCTCTCTCTCTCTCTCTCTCTCTCTCGTCTCTCTCTCTCTCTCTCTCTCTCTCTCTCTTCTCTCTCTCTCTCTCTCTCTCTCTCTCTCTCTCTCTCTCTCTCTCTCTCTCTCTCTCTCTCTCTCTCTCTCTTTACAATCGGTAATGTGAAAGATGCTGTAGAATACTTACGAAAGTTGATAATGTTATTGGCTTAGCTCTTGAGGTCTTGTAAATATTGACGTTATAAGTCTTGAATGTTTAGAATATTATTGGTATGATTCTTGGAGGGCTGAAAAAATATTAATGGTATAACATTTAGAAGTTGAAATATTGCTGGTATAACTCTTTTAAAGGCAAAAAAATATTACTGGTATAACTTATAGAATGAAAAATATCACTGGTATAACTCTTGAAAGATGAATAATATCACTAGCCTAACTCCTGAATGATCTAGAAAAATGATCAACATTTTAGCTTATCTGTTCGTCCACTATCGAATATCTCACTAATTCCTCGACTTATAAATCATTCTCTTCGCTTCCCACAACAGTCTGTTACAGTGAACGGCGTGAATGTATCAAGAACAGATATCGTCGCCAAGAACGGTGTGATCCACGTGGTAGACAGTGTTATAATGGCACCACAAGGCAATATCGTTGATATTCTGGCCGCGGATCCGAAATTCTCGACTCTCGTGGCTGCCGTTAAAGCTGCTGGTTTGGTGGACACATTGAGTTCTGGTGAGTTGGTTGTGGTTGTATCTTTTTGTATCTTTTTGTGACCTTTTGTTTTGTGTGTGTGTAGCTCTTTCTGACTTTGGATTCTGTGTCAGATCCCCTGGAAGATAGTTATTTAGCAAATTATCCAAGTAATTTAGATAAAGTTATTAGCCCAAAAAATGTAAAATCCACATTCATCCCTTCACATCAT